TGGGGACCCCCAGGAGGGCACAGGGATGGGAGCAGGGGGGTGTTGGGGGTCAGTGGCACTTGGGGACACCAGGGAAGGGCTGGGGGGACCCCCAGGGCACAGGGGTGGGAGCAGGGGGGTGTTGGGGGTCAGTGGTATTTGGGGACCCCCAGGAGGGCACAGAGATGGGAGCAGGAGGTGTTGGGGGTCCCTGGTATTTAGGGACCCCCAGGACACAGGGGTGGGAGCAGGGGGGTGTTGGGGGTCACTGGTATTTGGGGACCCCCAGGACACAGGGGTGGGAGCAGGGGGGGGGTGGGGGTCACTGGTATTTGGGGACCTCCAGGACACAGGGGTGGGAGCAGGGGGGGGGTCCAGGTTCCACGGACAGACACAGGGATTATTTTGGGATTTGGCCAGTGGGCTCCAGGTTCCAGGGACAGACACAGGGATTATTTTGGGATTTGGCCAGTGGGCTCCAGGTTCCAGGGACAGACACAGGGATTATTTTGGGATTTCCAAAATAATTGGGATTTTTAGGAAACGAGGCTCCCAAGTCTCGCCCCTGGTGCCCTGGATCCCAGTGCCAGGGGGGATTTTGTCCCCCATGAAGGGTTTTCCCAAGGAATTCCCCAAATTTTGGGTGTCTGTGTGTCCCCAGTAACTGTGAGGTGCTGACCACGCTCACCCCGGACACGGGACGGATCCTCTCCAAGCTCCACACGGTGCAGCCCAAAGGGAAAATCACCTTCTGCACTGGGATCAGAGTGGCCCATGTGAGTCCCCCTCCCCTAATTAGTGTCTAATTAGTGTCTCTCCCAAATTACCTGCCCTGGGAACGCTTGGATTCCACCATCTCAGGGGTCTTTTCCAGCCTCGATGGTTCCCTGTCACCCCTTGGACCCCACAGTGACACCCCCTTGTCCCCATAACCCCTCCCAGTGCCCCCCAGTAACCCTCCCAGGGCTCCCAGTGCCCCCCAGTAACCCTCCCAGTGCCCCCCAGTAACCCTCCCAGGGCTCCCAGTGCCCCTCAGTAACCCTACCAGTGCTCCCAGTGCCCCCCAGTAACCCTCCCAGTCCCTCCAACCCTC